TTGCGTTAACGGCAGATTTTAGTATGCCGTTGCCAATAAAGATTATTTAGCTGTAACCGGACATTATTTTAAAGGATTTGATTTAGATAAGAGAATGTTCAATTTTAAATGTGTTCTAAGATCACATAATGCAGATTTAATATATAATATCATTTTAAATGTAATTGATGAATTTAGATTAAGAGATAAAGTAATTGCTATAATATTAGATAATGCTAGTGCCAATACAAGAGTTCTTTAAAAATGATTTAAGTTTATTCGGTGATGGTACAATTTTCCACCAACGTTGTGCATGTCACGTAATTAATTTAATTGTCAAATCTGGTTCAAAAGAAATGGGTAATCACATTAAAAGAATTAGAGATAGTCTTGCATAGATTCAAGGTAGTAACCAAAGACAAGAAGATTAGTTTAGGTTCTTACAAGCATTAAATATACCTCTTAGAGCATTAGTGTTAGATATGCCTATAAGATAGAACTTAACTTACATAATGCTTCAACAATACATCCCTTATAAGGATGCTATAACAGACTATATATGTGCAAAAGTAAGAGTAAATCATATAGGCACATATGATTGGTAAATTGCCGAAGTTTTGTATCAATTTTTAGGTAGGTTTCATGAAGTGACTCTAAAACTTAGTGGAACATATTATCCAACATCACCTTTAGCTTTAGGAGAACTTTTACGAATTAGTATTTTATTTAGTGAATATAGAGAGGACTCACCTTAGCAGTTCCTATCCATTCAATGGAAAAGAAATTTATAAAATATTGGTCTAAGTTGCCTTTGTTGTATGGTTTAGGTACTATTTTTGATCCTAGATTAAAATTAGAAGGTTGAGAAAGTAGTTTAGATAACTTAAGTGAATTTTTAGGCATCAATTGTTCAGACCAATATCCAATAATAAAGGAAAAAATATTTTCGATCTATAGTAAATATGAGATTAGGTTTAGAGTACCTGTTAGAGTACATGAACCGCAACAACAAGACGAAAACCCGCATTCATTCTTGAATGTTTTCGGGTTGAAGAAGAAGAAGAAGACAACTCAAACAGAAGCTAGGAGTGAATCTTCGTCAACAAGTGGCAGTGGTAGCGGCGGCGGCAGCTTCAACGAGCTTATGGCGTACCTCAGTGAAGGCTTAGTAGTCGACGGTACGGCAGAATTGTTTGACTTAGTTCAATGGTGGAGGGCACGGGCATTAACTTGGCCAATCCTAACTCGATTGCCAATGGATATATTTTCGATCACAGTCTCCACTATTTCATCTAAACAAGCCTTCAGTACGACAGGAAAAATACTTGAGGAGCGCCAGAATGCATTGCAAAGGGATATTGTTGAAGCCTTGGTTTGCATTAAGGATTGAGATCGGGCCGATCAACATCTACAGGATACAATTTCACCGGCAAGCTAAGAATGGATCGATGAATTTAATCGATTAACATTTAATTTTGAAGACGATCCTTCAGCTTCAAATTAAATTATAAATTTGTAATTTGTAAATATGTATTTACTTTTGACATTGTATTTGTAATTGTATAACTTTGTAAGTTTGTAAAATTTGTAATTCGTCACAAAATAATTGCACTCTTTTTTTCTTGGCAAGTTTTTATTCCAATTGGGTTTTTTTTGATAAGGTTTTTAACAAGACAATCATGAATTACGAATTTAATATACATCATTAATATACATGATTAATTTATTCAATTGTGTTAATAATGTATGTTGAATGTTAATTTTGATTTTTATATAATTTTAACACAAACTAACTTAATAATTATAAAAATTAAAAAATATTAAAAAAAGTTTGGGCTATTCGGGCGGCCCGGCCGGGTTCGGGCAGCCAAATATAAGCCTGCGGCCCGTTCAAGGGCATTTTCGGGCTCGGGCGGGCGGCCAGAATTTTTTGGGCTGGTCGGGCTCGGGCTCGAGTAAAAACTCGGTATTTTCGGGCGGTCACGGACGGTTCGTCCAAAGTTCCAGCACTAATCATATATTGATGTATTAGAAACCGTTAATTTTGTATATTTTTTTCGTTTTGAGATGATTTTAATTAAATTTAACATTTAAAAATATGCATTATTAGTAGGGAGTATCTACGGTAAAAACTCCAATTGTTTAGTGGTTTTTTTTTTTTTTTTTCTCTTGATCATGTTATGTATCGGTTATTATGCAATATGCTTCGCATTGCCATAATGATGTTCTTTCGGTCTCATAATTATTGATGATTATGCTTGTCCTTATCATTTGGATTTAATAGGAACATAGTATATATTCTAACTTTTCATAAGAAAAAAAAAATCTAATTGTTTATAATATCTTTCGAGCTACTTTAGCTAAAAGTGTGGAGTATTATTATATCCTTTAGTTCTATAAGAACTAGGATTCTATTGCATTTGCAGGCAACAATATTCAATTTCAATGTTACCATATGATTACCCCTTCTTGCTTCATAGAAGTATCCAGAAAGTAGTAGTGCGGCAGAAAATGAATGGTTAAGGTCAAGAAAATGCATTATTATTTTTTATTCTTTTTTGTTTATAGATGGTTGTGAGGAAAACACACATCGTTTTTAGGTTGAGCTCTTGTAGAAAACATAGTTGGCTTCAGAAGATTGTATTTTCTCTCAGACCAACGATAGCGGAAATGGTGGATCTCTTCTTCGCAAAAGCTAGGCTGTGGATCGGAGAAATATACATGATTTTGCTAGGGATCAAAAGGAAGGTGATTAGGAGAGGAGGATTGCCGCTTCGTTGTTTTAATCCAATTTACGAATTGCGTTAACAATGGGAATCTTAGAGCATGGATTCTGAAGGCAACAATCAAGCGATTATGAAGGTGCACACGAAGCAGACCTATTTGGGAGGGTTGATCGGGTAAGCATAAGGTCCCGTTCATTTCGCTGATTTGAGTTTAGAATTCGAGTTTTGTTACAGTAAAAAGTTCTCACAAACAATCACATCTAACTTTTTTACTACAGTAAAAAGCTCTCACATAAAATCACATCTCAACTCGAATTAAAAATTCGAATCAGCGAACTAAACGGGCCCTAAGTAACATTGATTTAATCTTTTCATCTTATTAAAATCAAGCATTAGGCGCTTGGTATATGCTAAGTTTCTTCTATACATTTCACTTTTCAAATTTCTTTATCTCCGTATGAAATGTCTCCCGCAACACCATGCTACCTACTAAATTACATCAATGCCACTTGAACAGTTTCACTACACCGGTTCTAGTCGGTATTTTGCAGCTGACATTTACCTGTCTTGCAGCCGTGTCTCAGGCAATTCCGTAGCTGTCCCATTAGTCCTAATTCCCTCTTTTACCACGTGTGGATAAATCAGTTCGTCGGCGACTGTAGCCTTTCTCTATATTAATTTAATATAAAAATATTTTATTATAATAAAAAAATTAAATGTAATTATTTTTAAAAATTTTTATTATAACAAATTTTAAATTTAAATTAGTGTGAATTAACTAGACAAAACATTTTAACAATTGCCATAGTACAACAGAACACTGAGCAATGCCCCCAGGGTCCGCCTTACAATAAGAAGACTCACAGTGTTCCTCGAACACCGGTCAAGCATTGTTCCTCCTCCTCTCAATTTTCACCGTGTCTCCCTAAATTTTCGTGCTTTTATAAATTGCCACAGAACTTTTAATTTAGGACAGTAAACTTTTCAAACTTGTCAAAACTCTTTCAAATTAGCCCAAATTAATAATAACACTGTTTAAATTAGTAATAAAAATACCCATGCGTGCCTCACATTTTTTATACTTTACCCCTTAAATTTTTGTGTTTCTGTAAATTTTTTCTAAATTTTATTTTAAGCAATTGTTGATACCCAAAATTTTACAAAGTATCAGCCCGCCTCAGATCTAATAAATACAACTCCTAATATGGTATGTGGACCCAAGCCACATTTCGGAGACTTCTATGTGGGCCGTGGTTTGACAGGTCAAGGAATGTGACCCGATCCATTTTATCTGGCCCAATTAGACCCTTGGCCCACTTGGGGTGGTCTTGAGTCTATGAGGGAATTAGGATAACATGGGTTATGAAGGAAATTAGACGATGTAAGACCAATTATCTAAACTTATAGCTGCTATTTGTGCAATTCTAGGCTTTCATGAATACTGTGCACTAAGATAGCCCTTTACCCCAACCTGCATGTTCTCTCCCCGTTCCTTCACTTTTTTCCTCAAAAAACAACAAAATCTATCTTCCCCAAAAACTATAAGAAGACAGAATATACACAAATAAGAGAAGGCAAACCTTTGACCACTTGGCTGCCATCCTCTGATCTCACCGAAAACGGCCATGGAACCCCACTGGCTGCCCAATAACCCACTTATTCATCTATTTGGTAAGCCTTCCTCTGTGATCGATTAAAGCTATCATTAAATCACACTAGAAATGCCTTACCGACGAAGACTTTTGGGGGGATTTCAGCCAAAGTTCAAAATGGTTGGAGGGAAAACTTCCATCCCCTTACCACGTTCCTTGTCTATAAATACTGTTGTTCAAGCCTCTCGAGTGGAAAGGGAAAAAGAAAAGGGAAAGGGAGGTCAAAAGTCCCCTCTTCTGGCTGATTTCTCTTGATTTTTTCTTGGTTTCTATCGGAGCGACCGACGGAGAATTTCATTCTCCATAACTTCCGGGGGAGTCCCTCTAAAACAAGTTTCTAGGCGATCTCCCCATTGGAAGTGGTAACAAAAGCTTCCCAAAATATCGAAAGCCCTTAACCATGGCCTAACACCCCCTAAGACTAAGTTTTGATCCCTCTACACACTACGTCCGTCAGAATCATTATATTCACAAACAGAGAGATATGACTCCGTTACCCACTTAGGAGCCTCCTCCATAAACTCGTCACATTCCTCTCCCACACATATGCTCATTTGAAGCTCTCCATCAGAAAATTCTTCACAATCTCAGAGCTGAAGCCGCAACGGGTGTCGCCCTCGGATACCATCATCCTCGGGGTCATCCGGGTTTAGCCTACCTCAGCCGAGGCCAACAGCATCCTCTCGGCCACTATCGACGCCAAGAAGTGCCCTCATTAGCTCTTCAATCACGTCAGTCGGTAAGAGCACAATCATCACGAACCAAAAGGGGCCACGAGCCATTTACCTTCCACATCAACAGGCCCTCACCAAAAGAGCCCTAACAACAATTAACCCCATTATATTTTTGACATCAATCTTAATGTTGTTTCCAATTTAGACTAAATTGTAAGATTTTGACAATTAAAAATTGATCGAACAATTCATCAAAACACAAAAGTTTGATTATGAATGATATGATGGGAAGCATCCAAAGGCAACAAAATCCCACTGGGCAACAACAAAACGTCATCATTTACAAGTGCTATCAAAATCCAATCCCACTGATCAGTAGGGCCGGCAATATGGGTCACAACACGACGACACGACTCGAAAATGACACGAATTTTACGAGTTAGGATTGAGAAAAAAGAGGTTCGGGTCAGAATTGAGTCGACCTGAAATTGACACGAAAAATACGGATCAATTTCAGGTTGGACCCGCCTAACCCGAACACGACACGAAACTCGTAAAAAACTAAATAAGACATATATTTTTCATTACATATTTTAAATTTTATTATGAACTTGTGATATCATAATAGTTATACTCAAAATCTTATATTATTATTTGCTTAATTTCAATGGATGTTATTGTAATTTAGTGTGTTATGAATTTTAAGTTATTTCTAATATGTAAAAAACTAAATAAAAGTATACAATTTTTGTGTCAATTTCGGATTCACAGGTCAATTTCGTGTCACAAGTCATTTTCAGGTCGTGTTGTGTCAACTCATAAAGTGGTCATATCGTGTTCGTACTGTAATTTTTAAAAAATTTTGTGTTACAAATTGTATTTAGATTGACTATAAATTTTAAAAAAATAATTAAAAATAGATACGAACACAACATGACACGAATTGTCACCTCTACTAAACAGTGACCATTACCGCATTACGCAACGCCCATTTTCCTCATTTATCCAAAAACCGACAAAAATAAATATCCATCGCCAAACCACTCCGAGACATGAGACCCCACCAATTCTCATCTCTATCAACGCCTCAAAATCCAATACACTAATCTCTACCACGTGGCGTAATCACAGCCCCCAAAGTCCATCCCAAAAGCTTCGCCCTTGGCAAGAGAAAACCTCTTGTTTGGTCTCTCCCTCAGTTCCCTTCTTCGTCCATGGAAGCCAACCACTGATCTTCCCAGAGTCTTCCTCGAAGCTTTCTCTGAGTTTCCCCTTTGCTTTCTCATAAATTCGGATCTGATTTCGAAGCGATTTAGCTAGCTAGGGCAAAGATTTGCGTGTGCATGACGAGCGCTTCCGAGCTGTTCTATAACAGGAGGTCCCGAGTCGGCCGAACAAGTCCCGATTTACGGCTCGATTCTCCTCCTCCCGACCGGAATTTCCATCATAATCCGACTCACAGTCGCCGGAATCACCATTACAGTAGCACCGGCGCCGGCGGCGGTGGTAATCACCGACATGATCTCGACGGCTGCGATCCCCTCCGGCGATACCCGCACGGTCGCCATATCACCCCCCGTGCTTCTCATCAGGTTCGCCACAGGATTAATCTCTTATTCTCCTTTTTTTTAATTTTTTTATTTGTGTAAAAATATGTGTTGGGTATTGTAGTAGATTTCCGAAATCTAAAACCTTCTAGTTTTGCGTTGCTTGGCGTGCCAGAAATTCGAAATCAATTTAGGATTATTTTGGGCATTTGAGTGGATTTGGCATTTGGGACAGAGAAGTCAGTTTTTGTTTGTGCCGATTTTTTTTATTTGATTATAGCTTTTGCAAGGATATTGCTGCTTCTAGGTCCTATATTTGTTGCATATTTCGATCTGAAACACTTTGAAGTTTCTCTGGATGTTAAATTTTATGTTTTTAGGACCGTAAAAAACTTGTTGTGGTGTTGTTAAGCATGAACTTGTTTTCATTTTTTTTTTTTTTAAATTTTTGTATATGTTTATGAAGTTTCTCTATGGATTTGTTTGTACCCAGGAGCCGAGTCATTAGTCGTTTTATAACTTATAAGTCATATGACCAACAATTCACCTAAAGAAGCATTTTATATAGTAACGAGCTCTTTTTTGGTTGTTGTTAACTCACATTCTTCTTCCACACACGAGTAGCTATGCTTAATAGGGAGACCATGATTTGTTTGTTTTTGTTGTCTCTTGTATTTGTATATGTGGCGTTGGTAAGTATTGTGTATCAATTCGTCGGTGTATTGCTTTTATTGGATTTAAACCTTCTGCGGTTTTTTCATGAATTGTGTCATTGTTCAGGAATGGGCAGCATTTCGACTTGAGGAAAGTACGAGCCAGTTTGGTCCAAGTAATCTAATTGAAACAGAAAATTTAAACAGTCCAAGCTGGCCAGCATTGACTGCAAATGAAAGGCTACCTGGAGCGGTGCTACTTGCGAGGGCGAGGCTTCGTGAGAGGTTGAGAGGTCTTCCCCTATCTGGAAGCAGGTCAGTTTTCCACCATATAGCATTCCAAGTTATTTTTTGTGAAATAGTTCTTAAAAAGTTAGAATAATTCTCATCATTACCGTGGCATTTTGAGTCACTAAATTTCATCAAGAGTGGCTTCAAACCTTTGAAATTGCATCTCATCAAAATCACTGCTATGGCTCAAGTTCCAAACATCTAATGAATAAGCTCAAGTTTCTCCAAGCTGTGGTGGTTCATATTTCTTTTTCATTTCGGTGCAATCATGCCGCCACTAATGCATTGGATTCCATAAGAACTCTACAGTTAAGTGTGCTTGGGTGAGAGTAGTACTAGGATGGGTGATCCTGGGAAGGCCTCGTGTTGCTTCCCTAAAATAAATAATATATATATATCTATTTCTTTTTTATTTTATAGTTTTAAGATTTTCCATGTTATTTTTTTATTTCATATGATGGTTTGTTGTTGAAAATGTCATATCTTTCATTAAGTTTTCTAGTCCTTGATCTTGATTCTTGCCCCTCTGGCCCTGAGCTCAACTCTAATGTGTATTCCTCTTTCTTTCATTTTTATTCAGGCCACGCAGTCGAGGTGCATCTAACATCAATGCTGGTGGGATAGGGCCCGGTGGTGAGTCAAGGCCTTTTGATGCAAGTGATTGGGAGACTGAAAACCTAACTGGCTGGTCAACAGATGGCTTCCCATCTATTGGCGTGAGCTCCCAAAGTTTACGGCCGCAACCCTCGCAACGAGAGAACAAAAAGCTGAGTGGTCTTACTCAAGAGGCTCTCGATTGCTTGCAACTGGAGCTTTTCAGCAGCGAGGAAACTGGCACTGAAGACGCGGTGTCAAGAGCACCCCGGGATTGCAGTATATGCCTTGAGAGCTTCTTCCAGGGAGATCGGCTTATATGCTTGCCATGTGAGCATCGATTCCATGCTGTTTGCTTGGATCCCTGGGTTCGAATTCGTGGGGACTGTCCTTATTGTCGAAGGGTTATCATTGTAGAGAAAAGTACCATGAAAACTTCAGAGTCTCAGTTGAGATGCTTTTAACTTTGGTGTTGTAGTGCAGGGAAAGTTTTGGGACTCCCTGATCAACTTATGCATGCTGTTCTTGTACCTTCTCTTATGTTGTACATCAACTTAGGAATCAAAGTGTGAACCCACGTCTTTTAACAATCCGATTTCTTTAGTCCAAAATGTGAATTTAATTAGATTTTTTTCTTTTTCTCCATCTCAACTCACTTGGGTCCTTTCCTTCACTTTTGGGGCACACTATAGCTTGTAATTTTGTGGTTATATGATTTTTTTTATTTACAAGTTATCAGCTTTCTTTCTTTATTTTTTAATTTTATAAACAACGAGTGAGAGATTAACTTCCGGTAAAAAAAAAATGAAACAAATTTAGTTTGTTATGAAAACGATCAAGTTTACACGAATCAATTTATTGTTATCTATTAGCTCATATAATGTGAAAATCATTGGTGACTCACTAGGACTGAATTTGATAGTTGTGGCTTTACCATAATATTTACTTAAGTTACATTATGAGCTACACAATTACAACATCTTGAAATCTTAGGCACTGACCAAGCAGTAAAACTATCAAGAACGCTCAATATGTTGTCAACTAGGATAGAAGATTCGCAGGTTGAATCTGAACCCCTAGAACGAATGGCGTTGGTGATGCTCTTTGAATCCCCGTCCAAGATGATGTACTGGCCACCTTGAAACGTTGCTTGAGTGGCGGCGAGCAAGGCTGCTTGACCGTCTGCTACCGTGGGAGGAGGCAAGACCAAAGTTACTAATAGGGGCAAAGTTATTTGGCTGGATATGATTAAATTATTAGTTATTACGGAATATTAATATTTTTTTATACGGTTTGGAGATGTGACTCTCTTATACTAAGAAGAATTAAAACTATCAAATTTAAACTTTAGATCACACACTCACGTACTAAATCACACGAGTTTGACTGAAGTTTGTTCAATAAAGGGCCACCAAGACAATCACCACTATGCTTACCAAATAAACGAACCAATTAATTTTTATGTCCTCCACTAGACTGGCTAGTAATCTCCCTTCCTATTGGTCCCCCAAAACTAGAACCGGCCATATGATGAAAAAAAAGTAATTTGCGCTGTAACATCCGTATGAGACAATCCATGAAATTCTTTCTTATAAGTAATAATCCTTTTGTTGTTTGTTCCTATTATCCGTGGATGGTACCAAATTGCAAACGACAATAAAATTCTCTATCAAGGGCAAGGCAGTAGATTTTCATTACTCAAGTAATTTCCCATTTTCTTCCACTCTAAGAAATTGAAAAAAAGAAAAAAAAAAAAAAATCATAGTCAAGTCTAATGAAAAGTGACACCAAAACGCCAGCTATAACACATATCTATATAAAAAATTTATAAGATTGGACAATGAAACGGCTTGAGTAAATTATTGCTGGGTACAAAATCAGATATATCTAACGTTACAAATACGGTGTATATACACAAAATATACAGATAGTAAATCTCATATTAGGAAGGAAAGAAAAGCAAAAATCAATGAGAGTCCATGAGCAATCGTGACCGTATAGATAAGTATACACTTATGTAGATAGATATACACGTATGTATATATCCACAATAAATACACATCAATGGTTGTGACTTTTATATATTTTATGGAAGGTCTTTTGACCCCTTTGCGTGTCTGCAGAGAAAAGTCTTCCTTCTTTCCCTTCTAGACGTCAACATTAAAATTTCAAGACAGTTTTCCGATTAAAGTGAATCGTAAAACAGAAGAACTCTTTAAAAACCGTGTAATCCAATCACCTTTCTGGAGTCGCGAGTGCTAAAAACAAGGGGTAATAATATTGTGCGTATACATATTAAATATATACACATAATATGATCTTCATATTAGACGTAGAAAAGGAGAAAAGGAAAGGCGAAATAAAAGTCAAAAAGGAAAGGAAAGGCAAAAGAATTGAGGAGGAAGAAAGAAAAAAAGAAAGAGATATCCATTTTGTGATCACTGTTTTATGTTATTGTTGTTGTGTTGTAATGTTAATGGATAAAAGTTTTAATACATTACGATCCTGTTCATTTCGCTGATTCGAGTTTAGAATTCGAGTTTTATTACAGTAAAAAGTTCTCACAAATAATCACATCTAATTTTTTTATTACAGTAAAAAATTCTCATATAAAATTATATATCAATTCAAATTAAAAACTCGAATCAGTTAACTAAACGGGCCCTACAATACGCGGTAGAGCATTGAATTTCAGTGGGTTTATACTGTTTCCTTCCTCTTTACGCGGTGACTTTTCTCTTTTCTTTCCTTTTCTTTTTCTTTCTCTTCACACCACTCCTCAGCACACGCTTTCTCTCTCTAGAATTTTCTTCATTTACCTAACCACTTTATTTGGGCAGAAAAACAACACAATACCCAAAACCAAAACCAAACACATAGACGAAGAACACGAAGAAGAAGAAGAAGAAGAAGAAGAAGAAGACGACGAAGAAGATTGTTGTGATAAGAGATTGTGATGTTGCGATCGTGTTACAGGCCGCTGGAGCGGTGCTTTGGGTTCCGATGCTGTGGCGGAAGCGGCGGCGGAGGAGGAGGCGGGGACGGGCTTTTGTGGCACACGGATTTGAAATCGCACGCCGCCGGCGACTACTCGATCGCGGTGGCTCAGGCCAATTCCAGCCTTGAGGATCAGAGCCAGGTCTTCACGTCTCCGTCCGCAATCTACGTTGGCGTCTACGACGGCCATGGCGGTCCCGAAGCTTCTAGATTCGTCAACAAGCATCTCTTCCCTTATTTACAGAGTACTTTTCTTTTCCCACGAGAAACAATTGTGTGTGTGTGTGTGTGTTTTTTTTTTTTTTTTTTTTTTTTTTTTTTTTGTGAATAATGATTGTTTATGGTTTTCTTTGATTGGGAATGATTTTGCATTTTGGATTTTGTTTGGTAAATTTTGGAAAAAATTTTGCGTTGGTATTTTGCTTAATTCGGTAAGGTTCTGAAATTGAAGTTTGTGAAACTGAAAAAAGTGTAATCTTGGACGATTCTCTTTAATGTTGTCGTTTTGTTCTTACAGAGTTTGCGACAGAACAAGGGGGATTATCAGCAGATGTTATAAGGAAGGCGTTTAGTGCCACTGAAGAGGAATTCTTGCGTTTGGTAAAGCGATCATTGCCGGTAAGGCCTCAAATCGCTTCAGTCGGATCGTGCTGCCTTGTTGGTGCCATTACAAACGACGTTCTTTACGTGGCGAATCTCGGGGACTCGAGGGCGGTCCTCGGCCGGCAAGGCTCTGAGACCAAGAAGAATCCGGTGGTGGTGGCGGAGCGGCTTTCAACTGATCATAATGTGGGGGTTGAGGAGGTGAGGAAGGAGGTTGAAGCGCTTCATCCTGACGATTCTCACATCGTCGTGTATACTCGCGGAGTTTGGAGAATAAAGGGCATCATTCAGGTATTGAAATTGAGCTTCCTTTGATTTGCAACATCAATTGAATTTTGTTTTGCTTTGCAAGATGGTTCATTAGTTCTCCTTGATCGTTGTCATGACAATTGTTAGACCATGATTGTGAGACTGGACTTGGTAAACCAATGCTTAAAAAGGCTTAATCGGGAAATGTGGCGTTTTGACTAATCGAGGCATCATGTAAGCTTTGAGGCGGATCGAGTTGTAAGCCTCAAATGAAAAAAAAAAAAAAAAGAAGCATAAAATTAAAGAAAATTCATAAATATGTTGTAATATTCAACATGTGAACTTAGTTTATTACAAATCACAAAACACATAAAAGAAATAATAAACTTCTATTCAAAATTTGTTTTTGTAAACTCTTCCAAGGATCTTTATGCTTCGATTCCTGGGTCAGCATCTATTGCAGATAAGTCAGAAGTGTCTTGTCTTGTTACACAAAGACTCATCTGAAGCAGGGGTTTGTCTTTTTGTTTCTTGGTGTTCATTGTCTGGCTATTTTCCTTCAAGTCCAGGATTGGGTGATTTTTCGAGTTGATTAATGTGATGAGAGGGAGTGTTGTAAACCACTTTCGTTTGTTTAGGTGTCAAGATCTATTGGTGATGTATATCTGAAGAAGCCTGAGTTTATCAGAGATCCAATTTTCCAGCAATTTGGAAACCCTGTTCCTCTAAAGCGACCAGTGATGACGGCAGAACCCTCAATCCTTATAAGAGAGCTTAGACCGCAGGATTTGTTCCTGATCTTTGCATCAGATGGCCTCTGGGAACAGTTAAGCGATCAGGCGGTGGTGGAGATTGTTTCTAAATACCCAAGAGCTGTGAGTGTCTTCTTTTCTCTTATTTGTCATGCTAATCTTCTATTTGTTTTTGTAGCAGGAACTTAAATTACGGATGATAATAAAAACTTCCCACTGTGTTTTGTTGAAATGCTAAGTTCCCCTTTATGTTCTTTAGTAATGTTGCACCTATTACTTGCGTTTTATAAATTGTGCTAAAATTATCCAACGATTTGGGGAGATTTTTGTTACAATTCTGGAAACACAAGGAAGAACGTAGCATTTCACTAAATTTCACGGCAGGTAGTTTTGATTATTATCCTTTAAATTATGGTCAATTTTACTCTGTCATTGATGATGATTTCAATTGTTTAACCATTTGCAGGGAATAGCAAAGAGATTGGTAAGAACTGCTATTCAAGAGGCTGCTAAGAAGAGGGAGATGAGATACGATGACATAAAGAAAATCGACAGAGGAATAAGGCGCCATTTCCATGACGATATCACCGTCGTGGTAGTGTTTCTTGATCACCATGAAAGCTCCTCAAAGCGTAGATTTAAACAGCATTCTGTTGGCTGCACAACTGCACCAGTTGACATCTACTCAATGAGTGCCGATGCATCGGAAGAAGATTTGTTCTCCTGAACCAAGAAAATCCTTGGAAGGGTGAAATTGACATTTTTGGGGAAAGGTCTTTTTGTTACCAATAATTTATAGAATATGAGGGTCGTCCTCTGGATGGATGGTTATATGGGCATTACAAAAAACAAAAACGAAAGACAAACACACAAAATCATGTAGATATCCGAGTCATTAAAATAGATGCTGACTGGTCGGTATTTATTGCAATTTACAGATTTTATCAATCAGAGGTTACTGGGTTGTCATTCTTTTCTGAAATTGAGGGTTATTTACATGCTTATGCTTGGAAAAAAAAAATGTTTTGTATCGCGCGCGTTATGTTCTTCTGTTCGTCATCTTATCCCCGATCAAGTTATGGTATATCACTATATTGTGTTTGTTGACAATTCAGCAATTTAATCTAATGGAAATTAAAAGTTAATCTCCCGAATGTAATATATAAACTAGACTCAGTATGAATCAATGAATTACAAGCGTACAAGAATATACAAAATGGATGTGGGAACAAATTGGCTGGCAAACTCGCAGCTTAATTCAGTTGCCACGTTTCTTTTACATCCTTTATTTGAATGTATCCAACATTGAGTATACACTATGTAAAACAATCCTATCAAGTCCATACAAGTAATTCTTTGTCAAAAGGCCACCTTCAGTCTAAAAAACGAAAGAAGTAAATGATTAATGATTTTTATTTGAAGAAATGAAGAAACACAACTAATGATTATGTCTTGGCAAAGCCGGCTCTCAGGTGTTTGAACTTTGCACTAGTGAATTGCTGTTGAAATGTGAAACTCGCTCACCCTATATCGATTTTTTTTTTTTTTTTTTTAACTAGGAAATAAATACAGAACTGTTTTAGTTCTTTTTCTTTTTAATTTAGTAAAAATGATCCGTCTTTGTTTTTGGATTGAATTTTAAGGATTTAATATTGTATTGTTTAAATTTGGAGTTAATTATGAGACTTTTGTTTGTTATTAGTTTGGTAATATACTTCACACGTGTTACTGTGTAAGTGTTGTATATTTTGTTGCATAATAAAGAATTGATTTATACATGAATTTAAGCATCTTGAGTTTATTTAAAAAATTTATATATTTCATCGAAAAGAATTCGTTTCGATTTCAAACACTTAGCAGTAGAACATATTGCCTCTTCTATATGGTTAGGTTCAAACAAAATATTTCAAGTAGAAAAATTATAGAGCAAATTAATTAAGGTACATATAAGAAAATAGTATTTGAAACGGCTGCAAGAAAAAGGCGTTTAAAGTAATTATTTATAAGAGGGAGACGATTGACTCTTTTATATGTGTTATGTATAACGTTCCAATAAAAACATGCATTTTTAAGTGAATATTACACATGTATAGAGAAGTAGAACATGTAGAAATACAATTACATTAGCGGGCAAATTAGGCATAGAATTAATTATATGATGCATATGAAAAATAGTACTTGAAAGGGTTCCATGAAAATGTTTAAATAAAGACATATTAAAGAAATATTAACAAATAACAAATTAGAGAATTAGTATTTATTATAAAATAATAGTTCAAAATATTATGTGAATAAAACGTTAAAAAGCGACAGTTTAATAAAAAATTGTTTTTAGTACATTGTAGTCTAATACCAAAAAATTTGTATAGAAACTTCACTTTTGATATAATAAGGATTATAGAAGAAAAAAAATTAAGTAGACACATTTTAAAATTTATTTTAGTATGAGCAGGAGAGGAGAAAAAAGAGCACATTGAAAAAGAATTATACCGCAAAGGGACTTTTAGTAGGAAAAAAAAAAAATAAGTGAGGCCTCATTTAAAAGAAATTATTTTAATAAAAACAAAACAGGGAAAAAAGTAAAAAACATGGTGTAATAACTTAACTGCAGATGAGTTTTTAGTAAAAAAGTAAAAATAAAATAAAAATAAAATAAAATAAAATTTAAAAGTAAAAAAAAAATCATAAAAAGTTAAACAAAAAACAAAAAAGACGAAGCTCTGCCCATTGAAAAATGAAAAATATTAATGTCACTATTATTATCACTCTTTGCATTCAACTAGTCTCATTTTGTCCAAAAATGGAAAAATTTATATTTTGTGTTCAATAATTACTTTGCATCAATTATTTATAAATATTAAGTGTTATTTTGTTTCATGCGTTTAAATCAGTAATTCTGATTTATTGACGAAAATTTTGTAAAAAAATAAAATTTTAAATTTAAATTCTTTATAAGATGAAAAATATTGTAACAGAATTAAATTCAAGTATAGAAACTAAACATGATCAAAAAATCAAATTATTATCTTTTTAATAATTTAAGATTAATTATGGGTCTGTTTAGTTCGTTAATTTGGGTTGAAATGTAAGTTTATGCGATAATTTTTTACTGTAATAAAAAAATTAAATGTGACTGCTTTTTAGAGCTTTTTATTATAACAAAACTTGAATTTTAGAATCGAACGAGAGAAATGAACGAGTCCTGTACTAATTCTTAAATTTACCGACAAAAAAAGTCAAACAAAAGTCATCCTCGTCTCGCAATTTTCCTGAGAAATTTTGATGAAAGAGACCGGAAGAAAATAGAAATTGGGGATCTAGACCATTTTTTTCATAACAAAAAACCATTGACGTGTATCTTACGTGTTAAAAAATGGTCTCCATTTTAATCTATGTGTACATTTTAATTTTCTCTCTCTCAAAACTGAACAAACCCTCACCCCGACCGACCCTTTTTCTTTCTTTTTTTTTTTTTCTTTTTCCTTCCATGCCCATACCCCCTTTCCTCTCTCTCTCCTCTGGTTCTCACCGACCACCCCAACGCTGACTGACCTTCCCCAAACGCCGACCGATCCTCACGAACACCAACCGACCATCCTGAATGTCGACCGACCCTCTAGAACTCTGACCCGACCCTCTCGAATGCCGACCGACCAACCCAATGCTGACCGACCATTTCCACCCCAACGCCGACCGTCCTTCCCCAAACACCGACTGATCCTCACGAACACCGACTGACCATCCTGAACACCGACCGACCCTCCAGAACTCCGACATGACCCTCTCGAACGTAGACTGACCAACCCCAATGCCGACCGACCATTTCCACCGACCCTCCGAATGCCGACCCGACCAGAACACCCACGCCTCCAGACCACAACTGAAATGGCATCACAAAATAGCTCTTCTTCCTCAACTAAGATGACTATTTTCAGAACTCAAGTCGACGAGGCAACATAACCTGCTCTCCCTCAGTAACACTAAGATTTTATTCTCTGAATTAACATTAAGGTTTTATTCTTGTTTTATTTTTTTCAAAACAGACCAAGAACATACCAATAACCAACTGAACAGAACAAAACGCATTAAGAACAGACCAATAACTGACCAAACAGACCAAGAACCAACCACCAGACCAAGAGCAGACCATTAACCGACCGAACATACCAAGAACTGACCACCAGACCAAGAATAGACTAAGAACAGACCAAGAACCGACCACCAGACCAAGAACAGCCCAAGAACCAACCACCAGACCAAGAACAAACTAAGAACCCACCACCATACCAAGACCAGACCAAGAACCAACCACCAGACCAAGAACAGACCAAGAACCGACCACCAGACCAAGAATAGACTAAGAACCGACCGACCATACAAAGAACATACCAAGAACAGACCAATAACAAACTCTAATAAAACATTAAAAACATACATTTTTACATATTTTTTGATTTTTTGGGTATTAATAACCATTGTAATTTATAAAAGAGAAAAAAAATTTGGTAAAAAAAGAAAAAACCAAGAACAGACCAAGAACCTACAACACTTGACCAAGAATAAATAATGATGTTTTTTTTTTTTGGAAAGCTTCGAACTAGTCCCGAAGATTGGAGAGACATTTAATTTATAAAAGAGAAAAAAAAATTGGTAAAAAATTAAAAAACCAAGAACAAACCAAGAACCGACAACACTTGACCAAGAATAGACAATGATTTTTTTTTTGGAAAGCTTCGAACTAGTCCCGAAGATTGGAGAGACATTTAATTTATAAAAGAGAAAAAAAATTGGTAAAAAATTAAAAAACCAAGAACAAACCAAGAACCGACAACACTTGACCAAGAATAGACAATGATGTTTTTTTTGGAAAGCTTCGAACTAGTCCCGAAGATTGGATATATATTTAATTTATAAAAGAGAAAAAAAAATTGGTAAAAAATGAAAAAACCAAGAACAACCAAGAACATTTTGGTCTGTTCTTGGTTTTTTCTTTTTTTACCAAATTTTTTTTTTCTCTTTTATAAATTACAATGGTTATTAATACCCAAAAAATCAAAAAATATGTAAAAATGTATGTTTTTAATGTTTTATTAGAGTTTGTTATTGGTCTGTTCTTGGTATATTCTTGGTCTGGTCGGTCGGTTCTTGGTCTGTTCTTAGTTTGGTGGTCGGTTCTTGGTCGGTTCTTGGTCTGTTCTTGGTCTAGTGGTCGATTCTTGGTCTGTTTTTGGTCTGTTCGGTCTGTTCTTAGTCTAATGGTCGGTTATTGGTCTGTTTGGTCGGTTAATGGTTTGTTCTTGGTCTGGTGGTCGGTTATTGGTCTGTTCGGTCAGTTATTGGTCTGGTCGGTCAGTTCTTAGTCTGTTATTAGTCTGGTCGGTCGGTTATTGATGACGTGAAATAGCTGATATAGAAGTTGACCTATTTACTCAATTTATTTTTTTTTTGATTATTTACTTAAAAATACTTTTTACTTAGTCTATTTATACAAAGGCCCAATTTTCCTCCTCGACAACCGGAAATCGGATCTTCTTCGCCTCTTCTTTAATGGGTTTCTACCCGGTCGCTTGCCTTTCGTAGGTAACTTCCCAAGTCTTCGGCTCCTTTTATTCTCGAAGATATTTTTCTTTTCGCCAAAATATTGTTATCGTGTTCGTGTTCTTCTTGAATTTTTATTCGCCAAACTGGTTTCCTCATAGTTTTTTACCCAATGACATGAAATTTCTTTCTTCTTCTTCTTGGTCAAGAAAGGTGTATTCGAAACAGAATGGGCCCTTGTCGTTTGGTGGCAGATACAGTGTGGAAGGAAATTGAATCAACTCATTCAGGTACTCTTTGTTTTCACTTTCTTATTCTCAGACAAAATTAGTATTTTCCTCTAGTTTTTGTACATATGTAAATTATATGTCTTTTTTTTTTCTTTGGTTTTGATGAGCGGAAAATACTTGAAAATGGGACACAGTGACAGAATATCAGTACTCCATGTGAGTAAAAGCATCTCCCTTTTTTTTTTTTTTTAACTTTTGTTTTAAGTTGGGTTCAGATGAGTTTTGATACTAGTTTTTTGGGTTTCCACAAAATTCAGTTTAAATTTCTTGTTTGGGAAGAACTTTGAGCGAGCAACTAGGATTGTTGATCAAAAGTGTGTCAAGAGGATTTCAGGACAGCCTAGTGGCCGTTCCATCTTTCAGGTTATTCTTTATTTGTATTATCCGTTTCTCTTATTGATTGTCTTGTTAAAGAAGTAGACGCCTTATCTCTTTACTAATGAAAACGATCAATTGCAGAAAACAAACAAATATGCACACGCAAAAGTTATACTGGTTGATCCTTAATATGAGAGTTACGTCCATTTTTAATTACCGATGAAGCAGATTATAAGAGAAAGTCCACACGTCTCACACTCACTATCTTCTTTTATTATTATTATTTTTTTTTCTCTTACCAATTTTGTAATCGTAAAAAGTAAAAATGGCGCCCTCTCAATATAAGAAAACCAGGCCAATTATTGGACTCATCAAAAGGTGGAGAAATAATCTTAGCCTATGTTTAATCATACAGCTAATTATGGGTTCCACTTGTGTTTGTTTGGTTATTAGGTTGTGGGAGAATCCAAGAGAAAGGAAGAGTACTTTTGCTTCCCAGAGCACTTTTGTGCCTGCTATTCATTTTTCTATGACATTGTGAGCAAAGGAGAGCAGCTTTGTGTGAGATTCTTCTTGTGCATATTACTTGAATAATTACAAATATTCTTCTCTCTTCTTAATACCTTCATCTGTCTATGTTCCATTTTCCTTTTTCTTCAGTGTAAGCATCAATTAGCTGCTAGACTTGCTGCTTCACTCAGATCATGCATTGAAGTTGAGGTGTCTGATGAGGAGCTAGCTTTCTTACTTTCCAAGCTCTAACATATCTTTTGTGACAAACCCAACTTTGGAATTATGTAGCTAGAATTCATTTATGGCCCTTCCTTTTTGTGGGTTTGAGTTGAGATCATGAGTTGAAAAGTGAATTTATGTGAGAGAAAACATAAGTAAAAAAGTTGAAATTGATTTTTCGTGCGAGAATACTGTAACAAAAAGTTTTGAGTTTTGATTCAAATTGTGAAAAGAACGGGGCTTTAGTCTCTTCTTATGCAAGTATAAGCACTTTCCCATTAGTTGAAATGTCAGCATGTATTGGGAAAATGAGGGAGATTTTGCTCAATGCTTATTATTATGCCCTGAGAGAAATATAACCATTTGCTAAAAAATATTGCTTGTTCAGCCAGTTGATACCAAGAAGTCTTATTCAGAGTACAGCAACAAAGGAAAAACAATCATGACTGTCAAACACAAAGTACACAAAATGAAATCCACTACTAATAAATGAAAATCAAGGAACAATCTTGTAAGATTTCATCTTATCAATCCAAGAAATGAACGAGGACTTAGAATTTCTGAACCCCACAAAACCATACTCTTTGCTCTTGTTCATGCTATCCAATGTTGTACCAAGAGTGAGAACCAAATCTGCGAACCAAAAATTCCCAACTTCTTCCAAATTGGTAGGGACGAGACCATTTTCCTTCACAATCTGATCCCAAACTTCACCTTTATCCTTCATCATCTCCACCAATGTCAAGCTATCCCCATCATCTTCAAATTCCTCATACTCCAACTCAAACTGCTCAGTCAACACCTTCCACATATGCTTCCACTTGAACACATCCCCATTGCTGCAATTAAACGCCTCGTTCTTCGCATACGTGTCGACAGCCGCCCATATCTGGTGCTCGGCAATCAGGTCGGCATCGGAGGCGTCCAAGTATGCCTCTCGTCCCTCCCGAGTCCCTGGAATCCTCAGTTTCATGCCTTCATGTTTACAAATCGCGGCGTAAACACACAAACTTCCAATGATATTCATCAAGCTAGAAGGCGAAAACCCGAAGATCACACCAGGCCTATGCACGGACCATGTCAAGCCCTCCTTCTTCTTCACCTCCTCCACCAAGATATCCTCTTGAACGTAGTAGAAATTCGGCGCGTCAAGCCTTGGAAGATCCTCATGAAATGGAGGCTCATGAGGCTCAACCTTTCCCAGCAGCTCAAACGGGCCGATGTAATGCTTACGTCCGGTTTGCAAGCATATGTGTTGGAGGTTCGGCGCGTGAGGAATGACGGCTTCTAGAACGTTCCCCAGCATTGCGCCGTTGACGGAGCAATTCTCGGCTTCAGTTGGCTGGCTTGACCATGTGACATAGAAGATGTGGGTGACATCGGTGAGCTTGGAGAGATGGTCTTTGGTCTGCTGCGGATCAGAGACGTCGCATTGGATATAAGTGATGGGGTGATCGGCATTCTATGAGGGCTGCGGGCGGCGGGCAACCCCATACACCTTCCAGGGCCCGCCGGGGGTGTCGGAGAGAGGGAGGATCTCAGCCAGGCTGTTGCCGACTATGCCGGTGACTCCGACGACGAGCGCCACGCTCTGGTACTCGGAAGGCGCGTAGTCATATTCGCGCTTTTTCTGTCAAGGTGGCTATAGTTAGATGGTCATTATAATTGTACATATTTTTAAATGTTAGATCTAACAAAGTTATAAAAATCAGGTTATTGCGAGAGAATCTGCTAAAGATGTCTCTTAAAATAGTATCATATAAAAAGAAAACAAATCATCAGAAAGTGAAAATTAGGATTGGTTACGGGACTTACCTTTGCAGCTCGAATAGCTCCTGCCAACCACCAACTCATTATTGTTCTACTTGTTTCTGTGCAGGGAATGACACAAATGAATTAAGGATAATATCTTGTGACTTTATGCACTAGAGCACTTCTTAATGTTTCAAAATCAATAGAACAGTGACAACCTAGACTTTAATCGCAAAAAATAAATATAACAGATGATATCTTGCGACTTTATGCACTAGAGTACTCAACGTTCCAATGCAGGACATTGACAATTTAGACTTTAGTCGTAAATATAAGCGGATGAGTTAGCTTGCGTATCCTACTAATGTATTGTATATTAGGGGAGAAATTATTCGGTGGACAAATAAACAGCATTTGTAATTGTAAAGTTAAATTTGTAAGATAAAAATGGTTTATTAACTAAAAGAAGAATATTATTCAGTAAATAAAAATTAGTAAACATCAATAAAAGACGTATATTACTTGGGGCAGTACAAGATTAAATTCTGAATATATCAAAATAAATGTAAATCCGAATAAAGCTCGGATTTATTAAATTTGGTCGTGAAATTAATCCGGATGAATCTTAGATTTACTTAGGTCTCATTCGTTTGTTTTCAATTCAAGTTGAGATGTGACATTTTTAAAAAGCTTTTAACTGTAGCAAAAAAAGTTAGACGTGATATTTTTTGAGAGCTTTTAATTGTAGAAACTTAGAACTAAAACTCGACTAGAGAAAACCTCTCTCTTCAACATAAATTGTCAAGCGTTGGAGGAGCAAATCATCAAAACCCACAGAAAGAGAACATATACACGGCATACAAAAAATTCTAACCGGACCACACCGTACACCAACACCAACGAGAAGCCCACGACGAGACGAGTCGGGGGAACGGTCAGGAGTCCGGCGACGTGCCCGGAGACGGTGCCAGAGTTCCGGCCAACTTCTGCTCTCCAAGAACCTTCTCACTCTCTCTAACTCTCTCTCTCTCTTTACTTATTTTGTTTAACAATACACAATATCCTATCATTAAAATACTTGCTCATTAAATTAATGACATTATTTTGTTTAACAATACACTATATCCTATCACTTAAATACATCTCGTCAATTTTAACAATATCCTATCATTTATTTTGTTTAACAATACAATATATCATATCATTAAAATGCATACGCATTAAATTAATAACATTATTTTGTTTAATAATACACCATATCATATCACTAAAATACAACTTATTAAATTAATGACATTATCAAGTATTTTTAACTGTCATTAGTTAAAAAGATTTAAAACTAGTACTTATCAGATGTTTAGCTTTTTTAATTGAAATATCCACAATTGTTGGGTACTAATATATTCATATCATATATACACACACGAGATATTCATATCAATAGTATTTTTTTTTAATTGCAAACGCTCATTTAATACAAATACAATTTTAAATAAATCTAAGTTATTCTCTGAAGTTGCTCCACCAGATCCGCATCAACAAATCACATAGTCATTAGTTTGATTGTTTTCAGATTTTGTATATTCAATATTCCTTGTAGATAATGTATGTAGATAATGCTTGGTTGTCTCTAAGAATCAAGAAATAGCCGATCAATGAATTAGTTGGATCATTTTTTTTAGCAATTTAACTAAGAGAAAATAGGGAAGTTGGTTATAGATAAACATGCGGAGCAAAAATTTCTCAAAATAAAAAAACGTCGAACAAAATCAATTTAAAGGGGCATTTCAAAGTTGCCAATAAATGTAGTTCAAAAAATAAGCTATACATGTGATATTTGTAAAAGTCAGCTACATTTTAATTCAACCTTGAAAAAAAGTCATATTGTGCAATTTTTACTAGACTAAAACCAGTCGAAGGCCCGGATATGTATTACTAAAATGGAAATAGTAAAAAATAGGTCAATATGAAAAGCTTAAGAAAGTATATATGCCAACTTTTAGTTATAGAAATTAATAGAGCATAACTTGTCAAGTTATAGTTCATAATTAGATAAGTTATGGACAAACTTGTTAAGTTATGGTTCATAGCCAGACAAGTTATGGACAAAAATGGACAATAACTTGTCAAGTTATGGTTCATAACCAAATAAGTTATGGACAAAAACAATAATTTAGCCTATTTATTAACTTATGTAAACTATTGGCCTATTAATTTTAATTCATCTCAAGTCTTAACCTATTTCCATCTTTCTCCCTTACTAAAATTACCCTTAATAGTCAAAAAGGTAATTTATAAGATTACCATTGAGAAATTGCTAGATGACGCCATGAGGCAATTCGTAGTCACTAACGCTGGCCATCGATCACCAGCCGCAGGTCGATCACCGGCAATGGTCATTATTTGCCAGATTATGACAAACTACCAGATTATACTTCATAGTCTGCTAGAACATTTTATATTTTCAACCAAAAAAATAAGATGTGGTCACTAACTCCGGCATTAGCAGTTGGCATCGGTTATTGGTCATAATCTACCAGATTATGATTCATAATCTGTCAGTTTATTTTTTTTATTTTCAACCATAAAATGAGATGTTGTCTCTGACTCTAGCAATAGGCGCTAATACCAACCGTTATTCATAATACGTCAGATTATGCTTTAAAAATGTCAAATTATTATATCATTTTCAACAACAAAAAAATAAAAGGTTGTTTTGCCTCCGGCATTAGTCGCTGACCATAATTTGACAGATTATGTTTCATAATAGGCCAAATTATTTTTTTTATTTTTTTAAAAATGAGATGTCTCAAGTTCCAGCTGTTATAACGTCGTAAATAATCTGCTAAATTATGCTTCATAATCTGTCATATTATTTTTTTTATTTTCAACAAAAATGGCAGGTTGTATTTGGGCCCGTGTCGATTGCCAGTTGCCAATCATAATCTACTAGATTATGTCTTATAATCCGACATGTTACTCTTCATAATCTCCAGGTTCATTTTTCTGTGACATTGTGAGCAAAGGAGAGCAGCTTTGTGTGAGATTCCTCTTGTGCTTACTACTTGAATAATTACAAATATTCTTGTCTCTCTTCCTAATACTTTCATATGTCTTTGTTCCATTTTCCTTATTGTATTTCGTAAGCATCAATTAGCTGCAAGACTTGCTGCTGCACTCAGATCATGCATTGAATTTGAAGTGTTTGATGAGCAGCTAGCTTTGTTACTTTCCGAGCTCTAGTACATTTGTTTTCTACAAACCCAACTTTGGAACTTTGTAGAGAAATTTGTTAGATGACTATCCAACGAAGTAAAATCGGCAAAAATGACCTTCTATAGTTTTTTACACTGAACGACCACTTAGTCACGCGGAGTCATTTTGCAAATTAAACTTTTTAGAACATTATTTCACTGATACAACTTTTTTA